TCGGAAGCTGTCCTTTTACAGGATCTAACCACTCCTATCAATCAAATGAAAGGCTTGGCCAAGACAAGAGATTAATAATGATCATTATGACCTTCTAGAGAGAAAAAACACAAGGCTGCTGGCAAGACCAATACTGAAGCAAATAAAGGACAGACATATAAAGTTCGAGGCAGCCATGACCAAACATAATGTTTATTTTCTTGAAATCTTCAGTTGGTGCTATTTAATACATGTTAAACGAAAAAGGGAAATTAAATAAGTCTTATAGTTCCCCATTCATCTGTTTTCGGTGCACTTTCAACATAAAAATGATTTATACTGGACACTATAGTCAAGATTAAAACCTAGTATTTGCTTGTATAAGGGTCAACTTGTTCTGCACGTTGTCAGCCGTATAACAAGGAGATAAACGAGAAGTCAATTTCCATCATTTCCCATATTGGATTGGCACGGCTAGTTGCAGTTTTGCAGCGGTGATCAAACCTCACACGTCGCATGCACCATTTTCTATAAGAATTTCTGATAAACCTTCGCCTTCGTCGATACATAGCAACAAATTATGTGTAGATCGCGTAATCAGAGAGATCCGGGTTGTATAAGTAATGTTGGACCTGCCAACCCACAATATTATAATTCTTCATTTGGACAATGTACGTAGCATTTTACATTGATATATATATATATATATATATATATATATATATATTTACACACACGGGTGTCGACGACAGTAAACTTAATCATTTGAAATTTTGGATGCTTTTCAATCTCTCTAGTCAAGCTGATCACCTGTATCCATTAAAACGTTTCCAGCAATGTGTCAATGCGTTAGTGCTTTAGCAATCAATTGAAGCAAAGCTATAAAGTGGACTTTTTGGAAATGTTATATAGGATAAGACACGTAGCATACAAGTGGAGGAATATAGGATATAAATATATATTGAAAAAAAAAAGATTCAAATTTAGTTCTGAATAAGAGAGTAAATTGAACTAAATATCGAGATGCATACATAAACATTAAAAATGCCAACACTGACTACTTTGCTTCATGTTAGGTCATCCGTAATCATCCGATCTAAATAATGCAATTAACTCAAGATGTTAACAACAATCTAAATTCTCCAGCTGGACAATGTGCCATTAATTATAGGAGCATTTAGTTTTGTTAGTAAGGGGTAAGACATGTGTTGGAAATTAAAAGTACATTGTTACCCACCCAAAGTAATTAATAACAAACGAAAAAGAGAATGTCGTTTCTGGCTTGCTGCTTGGATTTGAATGGAATTCGACAGGTATTTTAATTAATGGAGCCGATGGAACTAATCCAGGCTGGATCCAGCCCATTTCAGCCCGAGTTCAGGATTGGGTTCAACTGGGCTTGGGCTTGTGAGTTCAGAGTCAGCATCTATATACAATAAAAAAAGAAATTAAGGAAAATTAAGGGTACTTTGATCATTTTATCTCAAAAGGAAAAGTAAGGAAAAAGGGACATAAGAGAAGAAAAAAATTGAAAAAAGAACAACCAAACAAAATAAAGAAAATAAAAAGGAAATAAAAGAAAACAATTGAAGAAAAGGAAGGTCATAAAAAAATCTTTTATATTTTTCTTACTCTCTTCTATTCTTTATTTCTCCTTTTTTTTATAAAAATAAAATAATTTAGAATGAGTTAAAAAAAATTATTAAACATATACATTTAGTCAATGATTTTTTAAAAATATTTATCAAAAATATTTTTAATTCTTTTGGAAAAAGAAAATTAGGATTAAGGAAGAATAATATACTTATTAATTGGGAAACAAAGTAAAATGAAAATATGAATGTCTTCTATTATTCTTATTAGTTTTCTTATGTTTCTTTTTTATTTTTTAATGTTTTCTTCCTTTTAGTTAATTTATTTTAAAAAATATAATTTCAAAAAGCTTTTAAAAGATATCAATGTGATAAAAAAATTTATATCTTATATAATTAAAAAAATATACCTTTTTCTTTGTTATTTTCCTTTGTTTCCTTCGTTCATCATTTTTTTACTGTTTTCCCTAAATACTTTCAAGCAAATACTTGAATAAAAAGATGCGATTTAAAATTATTTTTGAAAAAGAGTTAACAAACATACATATTTCATCTAGATGTTTGGATTTTTAATGTGATTAAAATGTTTTAAATTTTTGGTGAAAGAAACAATGAGAGAAAGGAGGAAGAAAAAGGACAATGAAAAAGTATGAAACCTTTTTATCATTGTATTTATTCTCTTTCTCTTTTGTTTATTCTTCTTTATTTATGCTTATTTTTCCTAAATATTTTATTAAAAAAATTATAATTTAAATTAATTTATATAAAAAATCATCAAATTTAAAAATTTCTCAATTTATATTTTTAAAATAAAAAAATAAAAATATATCAACGCATGTAATATATATATATATATAACTGCACTCGAGTATTTTTTTTTTAAAAGGGAAGCTCATTAATTAAATTAGAATCACAGGTGAAAGGCAGACTCCCAACATATCATACATTACAAGATTTCTCACTCTAATTGGAGGGTACTTAAAAATAATATATAATTCTACTAAATTAAAGTCATAATTAATCATATAATCCGCTACCATATTACTTTCACGGTAGATATGTACAAGATGAACCTCCTAGTCATTTTGCAAAGTGACTTTAATTGCACGTATTAAATCCATATTCGCACATGGCAATAACTTGTCCATCAAAATCACCTGAACTACTATTTTGTTGTCAATTTATACCATCACTTTCTTCAACCCTGAATCCCAAGCCAATCGAAGACCATAAAACACTACCCACAATTCAGCTCTATATGCTGAACATTTGCCTAACCTCGCCACAAAGCCAGTTCGCCAAACACCTTCCGAATTACGAATTACCCCTCTCGCAGAAGCTTCATCTATTAACTTCTTGTATGCTCCATCAGTATTTAGGCTTACCCAGTCAACCTGTGGAGCCTTCCATCCAATCAAAACTTCTTCTTTCCTTCTTCTATCAACCTGAATCTCATCAAATCCTGCAAATGCTGTTGTTGTAGCAGTTGCCATACTTCTGATCAAACTTAAAGGGTTCCTAGTTGGAATAGTGGTAGCATCAAACACCGCACTATTGCGCCATTTCCACAGATGCCAACAAACCAAACCGAATACAACAGACCATGAATTCTCATCTAGTATCATTTGATGTTTTTGGAGATTACATACCAGCCATTCCCGTAGTGGTAATGTGAAAAACACGTTGTGTTCGTGTTGTGGAATGATTCTTACCCATAAAGATGTCGCCATCATGCAGTCCCGTAATACATGTATCATGGTTTCATCTTCCATCTTGCATTGTGGACACAATGAGTCTGTTGTAAATTTTCTGCTCCGCCTTTCTCTATTGGTCAGGAGTCTCCCATGTAAACATTGGAAAAGGAATGTTCTAACCCTTTGTGGCCCTTTCCACCTCCAAGCACCTTGCCATATTTCGCTTGGCTTGACATCTATCGATGATGATAGCTGTCTCAAATAATCGTATGCCGATGCTATGGTAAATTGACCCGATGCAGATAATCCCCAGTATGGTTCGTCTTGCGAGCAAGCTAGCGTGGGAGGCATGGCTTGTAACACCTGCATCACCACATCATACGGCAGACAATTGAACAGTTTGTCATGGTCCCAATGACCATTTGGACTTAAGAAGTCTCGTACCACTGCTTTATCTAATGTCTAATTTTCCACTCTATATGTTATATCAGCCAGCGTCTTATCTCCTAGCCATTTATCTTTCCAAAAGTTCACTGACATGCCATCTCCAATTACCCATCTGGTAGCAGACATAAAAACTGGCCATAGCTGGCTTAATGCAGTCCATAAATTAGAAGCTCCACTTCTTTGAATATTTCCTAGCCTTCGAGCAATATGAAGATTATACTTACCATTCAGTATTCTAACCCAAAGTGCCTCCTGTCTGTTTCTAAGTTGCCATAGTAGCTTCAAGAGGAAAGCCTCATTCATAAGTTTTAGCCTTTTTATTCCCATGCCACCTTCTTCCTTGGGTCGACACAATTGTTCCCAATTAATAAGATGAACCTTTCGTTGGTGATCATTGCTTCCTCATAGGAAATTTCTGCACAATTGTTCGAGTATTTTTAAACTATATATAACTATTTTTAAAAATAAATTACAACAACAATCTTTTAAATTTATTCGATGAAATTTAATCTCGTTATCATTGGCGAGTAATCAACTAGTAATATATTGATTAAAGGAATTTATGGTTTTAAGAGTATGCTTGTGATTTTATTTGATAAGGAAAAGAGAGAAAAATTTTGAAAAAAAGGCAAGAAAACAAAATAACAAAAGAGAAAGGAAATAACAGAAAAAAATGAAAACAAGGCATCAAAACAAAATTCAAAAAAGAATTTTAGTTTTTGAACCTTTTCTAATTTTCTGATTCCTCCTTTATTTTTTATTTTTTTCTTTGAATTATCGTCAAATAGAAATAACTTAATTTAAAATGAGTTAAGAAAAAGCACTATTAAGAATATACATTGAGTGAATGAATTTGTTTATTTTTTACAAAAAATTGAACAAAAACATTTTGAGTTCCTTTGGGAAAAGATAAGGAGGAATAAGGAGGAATCATATACTTATTAAAATGGGAAGAAAGTAAAATGAAAATATGAATTTCTTTTATTTTTTTATTTTTTTTTGACGTTTCACTTTTACTTTTTTATGATTTTTTCGTTTTAGATAATTTTTTTGAAAATATATAATTTACATAAACTTTTGAAAAAGATCAAATAGTAAAATTTGATGAAAAAATTTGTATAAATTAAAATTAAAAAGAATTTAAGCTTTCCGTGGATTGTTCAAAAAAGAGCTATTGACATTTTCTTTTTATTTTCCTTTTTGGACTTGCCAAATAAGCCAACTCTGAAACTGTCTGGAACGACTGCACGTAAGCACACCTTATCCCCCAAAAACAGTTAAACTAGGAACAGTTTTTAGTTTTAACTTTACAGGAAGCTTGTAATAACATGGTGGTGATGGCTTCTCTGCACACGCTCCCATCTCCATTGCCAACTACAACTACTTCTTCTTCATCAGAATCTTCAGATAATAAGAGTCTAGTTATTCCAAGAAGAAAAGCCATTGTCTCTGGTTCAACAGTTGCAATGGCTTCTTTTCTTCAGTTGTCTAACCCCATTTCTTCTGTATATTCTGCTATGGCCTTCCAACAACAAGAAGAGGAACTTGACGAAGAAGAAGATAGAATTGTTCGTCTCTTTCAGGTACCCAAAGGTTTCCTTTCTTTTTCCTTCTGGTTGTAATTAGTTGAGTTTCTTTGCTAATTTACTCACCAATATTTTAGCATCTAATAGGAATAATTTACTATGATCTTTCTCATGTTTATGAAATTGTATCTATTCTGCTAATTTGATGAATGATGAACCCATTTTAAGTTTCTATCTGATTCTTTTGGTGATGAACTTCACTTGTTTCTGTTGGTCCAACTAAGAGCTTCATTTTTAATTCTCAAAAGAAGTTAAGTCTAATCCTCAAGGCACAAAATTTTGTTCCAATTGCTTTTGAATACTGCTTTTGTCCTTTGTCATAGATATATTTATTGAATTGTTTACCTATTTGATGTGGTGATTGCAAACCTCTATTATCGTGGAATCAGAAGTTGCCTTTGTTATGGAGGTAGTTTAGGATATCTCTGCTAGCAGCTTGAAGAAATTGTCAAATGCAGTTCAAATTCTGTCATAAAATGACCTACATGTTGTTCAATCATCTTTTGTTGATTGTACTTTGTTCTATTTCTGGGATTCTTGCAGGAAACTTCACCCTCGGTTGTCTTTATAGAAGACCTTGAGTTGGCAACAATCCCAAAGAGCTCTTCCCACGATGTCACACTTGCTGAGGATGAAGATGCAAAAGTTGAAGGGACAGGTTCGGGCTTTATCTGGGATAAGTTTGGTCACATTGTGGGTATTCCGTCCTTTGTTTGTAACTGTTAGAGTTAAAGCATGCATTGACTTTAACATGTTGACTTGTTATGTATTTTGCGTCATTGTTTTTGTTATTAAGAGAGATATACCAGAACTTATGATGTGTCTTAGTGCATGTTTTGGTTAGTAACACTTGTCCTCTTTGTGAACAGGAGTTAACCATGTGTTATTTGGATGTGTACTATGTGTTTACTGATGAATGAAGTAACTTTCCTCTCCCTTTGTTCTCTGTTTTTCTTCTCTCCTCAGAGCAGTTCATACTACTGTTTTTATCATCTTCTTTTTAGTTTCATGTCAATAACATTTAATTGTGTAATGCAATATCTATATGGTTGCTATTTTCTTGTTCTTTTTATAAACAATTTTGCTGATGATCCTGTGGGCTTCTCAGTATAGTTTCCTGACCAGAGTGATTATTTTTATTCCCCCTTTTCCCCAGTTCTTCACCTTCTTTTGATTCCGAGGTCTGAGTTGAATGATAGCTTTATAGATTATGGACTGCCTCCTCTATATTGTTGTGAAAAATCCATGAAAACTTAGATTCAAGCATTTAACTTCTTAAAACAAAGTTGTTATCACCATGAAACGTCCTATAATTACTTGCTTGAGATGCTGCAAGAGCACTATTATATGGAAATACACAATGTCAATATTGATGATGATATCTTTTTTATAATCTGATGCATTCCTGGTTCAAAATAAATTGTACTTACTCCTACCTATGAATTATAATGTCTTTAGACTATACATAGATATCAACTCTACTGTTGTCACATTATTTGTTCCTTACATTTAACAGGTTACTAATTACCATGTTGTAGATAAATTGGCTACAGACCAAAGTGGGTTACAACGTTGTAAGGTTTGGTCCTTCCCTAGTTATCCTTTAATTCGTTGTTGTATTGCACTTCTCGGTCAGCCAAGGCATGAACTACATTGTACCTTTGCCAAGTATTATGGTTGCTTGTCTAATTTGATGCCTATTTTTTCAGGTGTTTCTAGTTGACGCTAGAGGCACTAGCTTTTACAAAGAAGGAAAAATTGTTGGTATTGATCCAGCCTATGATTTAGCTGTTTTAAAGGTATTTAGTAGGAATGCTTCATCTTGGCACTTGTGTTAAAGCTATTTAATGTTAAATGCCAAGGGTGCTTCTGTCCCTGATAGTTTACTAATGCTGAATTATGTTATTTTTCTATGAGTGAGTGTTTGGAAAATGGTTAATATAATTTTATCTGCAGGTTGATGTTGAGGGCTATGAATTAAAGCCTGTTATTCTTGGTACTTCTCGTGATTTACGTGTGGGGCAGAGCTGCTTCGCCATCGGAAGTCCCTTTGGATATGAGAACACTCTAACAACTGGGGTAAGTGTTCAAAAGCACCATAGCTGTTGAACTGTTTTTTGTTAAAACAATGAACCCTTACTCTATTAGTTGATCCCCTATTAGATTTGAGTTGAATAAAGAATTTTGTGGTGGTTCTTGCAACATAATTGTAAGAGGCCATTGAACTTGCTGCTTATTATGAGAATGTAACGGAAAGAATCTTGAATCCAGTTCCTTTGCTTGGGACAGAAGATAGCTTACTAGAAAGCAACAATATGGAATAATTAAAGATTCAGAAATATGATACTCTTCTGCTCTCATATTCAAATACTGCAGGTGGTTAGTGGATTAGGCAGAGAGATACCTTCCCCAAATGGAAGGGCTATTCGAGGAGCAATTCAAACAGATGCTGCTATTAATGCAGGTAATGTATTGGTTTCTGTGGATGACTGCATTCGTAAGCTCAACATACCCATGATACCCGCATTCTGTTATGTTGCAGACCCTCAACAGCATTATACTGTTGCTTTGCAATTGCATCTTCTTTGTTATTGGATATAGGTTACTAAAATAAGCCAACTTTTTGATACATTAGTAAGAAGTGGTAAACTACAGAGTGGTCTATATTTTGTAGAAAGAAAATAAATTGCTCAAACCATTCTTTAATTTTTTGGTTGTTCCAACTTTGCATCAATTTGATTGGTTCATAATCATTTTCTTGAAGAAAATATGCAGATGTCTAGGTTTTTTCAGCTGTTATTTACCATGTCTGTGCAGGCAATTCAGGTGGACCGTTGATTGATTCCTATGGCCATGTCATCGGAGTTAACACAGCAACTTTCACTCGGAAAGGTAAGGAGATCATGCTACTGTTTATAACTTGTGACCTATGGAGCAAGCAATCTGAGTCTTGAGATCTAAAATCCAAGGCCATTATTTTTTAAAAATCCTCCAGAACACTTTGACATTAGATAATGACCTGAACCAGTCCTTGTTTCCCAAGAGAAATGCCTTTGGTATGAAATAAAATGATGAAATCTAACCTGATTTGTCCTTCTTTCAAAGAAATTGATTGATACAATCCTAAAGTTTGAAAATCATGCTATCAGTTTAATACCATCTTGCAGGGACAGGAGTTTCCTCTGGTGTGAACTTTGCAATACCAATCGACACTGTCGTGCGAACTGTACCATATCTTATTGTATATGGAACACCATACAGTGACAGGTTTTGATCAAAATTTTTCTTCTGTAATCAAACAAACACTTCAAGCAGTACAAGTTTGATAGTAATATTTGGCTTGAAAAAGGTGATAGTAAGTTGATTTATCTCTTATGCTGTAAATAGCTCTGGGTATTATCTGGAGAATTATCAGGGATAATTAAGCAATGCAGACAGAATATCCCAATTGGTCTTCAAATTTGAGACATCAGTGCAGAAACCATAAGTCCATTTACAAGTTTTAATGTTTTATATAGTCGCAAGCCCGGATTTTGTGATGAACGCATAATTTTTTAATTGATGAATGACATTTTTAAAGAGGTATTACAATATAAATTCTCTTTACTTCTCTTTTCATGGACTAACTATAATGTTCTATGGCAGTTAATAATTGGGTTTTTTGCATCCAAAGTATTAAAGGACAAGAAGTACTACTCAACATTAACTTCTTTTTCATACAAATGGTATGACAATTGTACTTAAATTTCATACGATTGGCATGGCAAGCCTACCTAGACGGTTTTACAAGTGATATGGAAACTGAGCATCCTTTTTCAGTGTTTGCAGGCTAGAAACAAGTGAAATTATTTTGTGTGTGTGATTAAATAATTAAATAAGAAAACCATCCTTAAAAACAATGAGAAAAAATATGATCATATGAAAGCATTTCTGGGGTTGGAAACTAAGTTTTCTCTTCCTCTATAACAAACTCAATTCTAAATTTTTAAAACTAAAATTAATCGGCCTGTATAAATTCATGCACTCATTTTATATATTATTCGTGTCAGCCTGTGATTTTGTATGATTGTTGTAATTGCAGGGAAGAGTTAGATAAGCCGAAGTTTGAATAGGTTGAATACTCACAATTGCTCGGAATTTCAATGGAATCAATGGGTGAATTTTTTTGTGAATATATATATATATATATTCAGCTGTTTATGTGTATATTGCCTTTGTTTTCGTTTAAAAGAAAATACTGTCTGGCGTTATCCCTCTCCTTTCATATTGCATTTACCAAAAGAATTTCCATTCATGTTGCATGCTTGCATGATAGCTTGGAATGGAGCAAAATGCGGATTACTAAGCCTACACTCCTCTTCCATATTTATTTCCAATCGTTAGCAAATTTCCCGTTGTTGATTCTCTTGCCAGATCAAAAAGCTATCATTGGAAACCCTAGCGAATAAATGTTGTTCAATTTGGAATGTGGTTTTAAAACCAAAATCTTCAAATTTGGAAACTGATGGAAGTAGAAATATAAAGGCAAAAGAAGAAAACTTTAATAGACAGAAGAGGTTTGTTTCATCAGAATAAAAGACTGAGTTGGCAATGCAGAATTGGCATGATGCCAAGTCTCTTTCACACAGGTTCAGTTCACTGCTTTAATCCTCGTTCAATGCTTTGTTAATTCTTTATATTCTTTGAATTCTAACAATCTGTAACAATGGCAGAGGAGGTGTCACTCTTGGACTTTTGCCCTAGTCCTTTCGGGATGAGGGTGAGAATCGCCCTGGACCTGAAGGGGATTAAGTACGAGTACAAGGAAGAAAACTTGCTAGAGCAAAAGAGCCCTCTCCTCGTGGAGTCAAATCCTGTTTATAAGAAGGTTCCTGTTTTAATTCACAAGGGTCGTCCCATTTGTGAATCCTTTATCATTATTCAGTACATCGATGCAATTTGGAAGGAAGGGTTCCCTTTGATGCTTTCTGATTCTTAGCAGCAAGCTCAAGCCAGGTTTTGGGCTGAGTTTGCTGAAAAGAAAGTGTTTCTGTTATTCATGGCTTTTAAGTTCATCTTTTTCGTTTTTTGTTCATTAATAGTAGCATTTGATTTGTGTGGCAGTTGTATGATTGTGGAAAAATGATATGATGAACAAAGGAGAAGAACAAGAGAAGGCAAAGGTGGTTCATTGAGAGCTTGAAGCTATTGGAAGAAAAGCTTGGAGAGAAGCCTGCCTTTGGAGGTGAAACAATGGGGCTCTTAGATGTCACACTTGTGTCCCATTACAGCTGGTTCTATGCGTACGAGAAATGTGGCAAATTCAGCATCGAAGCAAAGTGTCCCATTCTGCTGCAATGGGCGAAAAGGTGCATGGAAATTGACAGTGTCTTAAGTCTATAGCCGACCAGGAAAATATTTACGAATTTGTTTTGGCGGTGAGGAAGAAGATGGGGTTGGAATAGTTAGGGGAAGTTCTCTGTTGTTATTTTATCTGGTTTAATTATGGTTTTCATTCTGGTTTTCTTATGAATAAAAGCTCGTTTACAGATTTTGGTTAGTCATTTCTATTGATTGATTGCACTGGGAAAAATATTGCCTCAGATTTGAAGAAATATGATCATAGAATCAGTGACATTTCTACTGTCAAATATGATTCATGATGGCCATCAAAAGATAGCCTAAACAATTTTACAGTTGAAATTCACTACCTCCAAACGATGACATGAACTGAAACGCAAGAAAATCCCAGTTCAAACGACTCGTTTCTCAATACCATAGATTTTCCTGAAAAAGAGCTCACCTGATCTATTTATTAGTACGGTGCAAGAAATGGGGTTGATGAAACCATACCTCCGGCATTTTGACAGACATGTATCTCTACTACTTTGGCCGTAATCCATGATCTGCCTTCCCTACCCAGTTTTACAAATCTCTCCTTTTATATTGTTCTGAGTTGCATATGGTTCTTGTTATCTAGATTACCGACCATGACTGCACTCCTTTATTTTATTTTTTGCCTACCAAAGGATATCATATAGATATTGTAAATGCAGGTTAAATGATCATAGAAGCCAATCCACAGATTGGGTGTGCACACATAATGCTAATAAAGAAATCGTAATGACAATTAATACTAATTTTCAAGCATTAACCATGAAATCCCTGTCGTGCACCAATCATATTCCCTTCCATTGAAATCAAAGTAATTACAATTACTCCTTCAGGAAGACAACAAAAGGATAATTATAAATCAGGAAAAACTGTTGTTTTCTTTCAAACAGAGATTCAATGGAAACAGAGAGTCTCAATTCTTAAACCTTCAGCAGTGACAATTGTTCATTGATGGAGCAATCCACATGACAGGATGTTCGACAAGAGAAGGGTATGAGAATGAGACCGAGGCATCGTTGCTCCATAGGAGATGGAGTGGAATGTCGGGTGCTACGATACTCTATTGAATCCTGGAGAATGATATTTCCTTGCTTGTCAATGCAGTGGAAAGTGCCCAAGAAAAACCTTCCATCTTTGATCCCCACCAGCATACGGCGAAACAGTAGCTTCCTTACCCGAGTTACAGGATCAGAGCTGCTTGAGTTAGGATCACCCAAGCTTCCCAATTGAATCAATGATTCCCCTACTTCTTGTTCCATGATAGTGCACTTGAATAAATAACTGTTGGGTGCAAATAATAGAAAATGAATCTTTGTTCTTAGCTTGTTTAGTAAGACAGTCAAATGCACTAACAAGCTAATGACTGAAAGCACCCTTTCATCGGATAAAACTATATATCATTCACAGCTTTTCAGCATAATAATGACTACAAACCAAACACCAAGAAGCTATAATTAATAAGAAGGGTAGCACTTTAAACAGCATATATAGAAAAATGAAAATCCTAGTGTTCTTTAAAAAATTTGACGTCTACAATGATGGCAACAGCACAAGGATAGGGTGCATTTTAGCCATGGAACCAATGAACGTGTCAATCGGTGAAACAGTTTAGATGGAACAGGGATGGAATTTGTAAAAGATCTGGGGAAGATAACAGAATGAAGACCTTATACTTCATAATCACCTATTCAAGATTTTGGCCAAAAGAACAAAGACACTTCACGACGCCTAGTTATCATCTAAATGCCAAATACATACAACCAATGCAGGAAGTTGAGCAAGCTTTGCTACAAACTTTTAACTTGATAGGAATGAAATAAAAATGATGATGAATTCAAAAACCCACTTCATAAAATCAATGGAAACCTCCAAAAAAAGGATGCTTTTAATTACTTTATGGATTGCCCAACTTCGCAACTACAAAAGGCAACAGTACAATATACTAACACTAATAACCAACCTAAATAACATACAAAACAATAAAAGAAACAAGCATATAATGAAAACCAAGGAAGAGAGAAAAAGAACAATAATTTAGCACTCAATCAAAGCAAAACCCAGATACAGAAATGGGAAAAGAATTTACTTAGTTAAAGCTAAAGATACTAAAAAAGCATAGCTTGCCCATATATAGATATATATATAACCCCGTAAATAAATCAACAAAAGGAAAAAGGAGCAGTAACTTACCAAAGAGAGATGGAGAAGATTGAGAGAACAAAAATTGAATCTTTCACCTTGAATGATTGTTTGGGGGTGTTTCATATACGAAGATGACAATTGGGGGGACGGACCGAACTGACAGGTGCTTCATCGGAGTTTGGGTTTTTGGAGTGAGGCTTTTGGACTTCTTTGAATGGGTTAATTGGCCCAACAGTAATGGGATGGATCAATTCTGTAAATTTATGAGTCAATGACTGCTCTAGCATCTAGCTTTCCGGATTTGAAAATTTCAATGGACTGATCTAAGCCCGGCCCACTGAATTGGCAAAATTTACTTTAAAAATCAGAAAAAGAAAAAAAAAGTCAGAAAACCGTTCCTTGGCGGTGATAAAAAAAAAAAAAATCCAACGTAACAAAAAAATTGTTGACTGGGAAATTCTTGTTAACTGCGAATCCAAGGAAACTTCGCCTGAAGGGCACAGCTTCCGGTTTCCCTGTTTCTGTCTATCTCCTGTCTGTTTTTTCTGCTTCCAAAGGGTTTTTCTTGTCTCATTATCTGAATCTCTCTCTGGTACGAATTCTCACTTCATTCCTCAAACTGGGTTTCCCTTCAAATCTCCTTGTTCCGCTTCTCTCCTTTCCTTTTTCTTATCCTTTTTATTTTTGGATAGGGGTTTATACTTTTTTCCCATCTTTCGTGTCTGTCTAGCCTTTAAATTTTCAATGGAAAATATTCACATGGGAACAAAGTTTTAATCAATATATTCTTTTCTCTTTTTTTGTTATATATTCTAGTTGCCATATTATTTGGTTAAAAACTGATTCTCTTTATGTTTTGGGTATCTTCGTTTTTCATTAAGATAATTTTTTTTGAGATTTTTGGTGGGTTTTTTTTTTTATAATTTGTAAAGTAGCTGAGAATTCGATGGAAAGTGAAAAGCAATGGGAGAACTCAAGCTGATACTCTTGATATGAAAAGAAAGCTTGAAATTTGTTAAAAGAAAAATGTGAATGTTAACTATTTCTGCTGGCATTGTATTGAAACTCAATTTGATTGCTTTTGGACTTAGACTTCGTTTATGATTTCAGCAGTTGATTTATATTCCAAAACAATGGGTGAGAGTGCTAAGCGTCATCGAGGACAAAGAGATAATGATGGGGATAGTAGGAATCATAAGAGAAGATTGAATGATAAAGATGAAAAAAACAATGATGAACTGGTTGTTTATAGAATACTTTGCCCTGATGTAGTGATTGGAAGTGTCATTGGTAAAAGTGGTAAAGTCATAAATTCAATTAGGCAGGAGACAAGGGCAAAGGTTAAGGTGGTTGATCCATATCCTGGTGCCAAGGATAGGGTTATAACAATCTATTGTTATGTTAAGGATAAGGAAGAAGTTGAGGTAGATGATGAATTCAATGACAAAGAACCGTTATGTGCTGCTCAGGATGCTCTTCTTAGAGTTCATGCTGCAATTGCAAATGCTATGGCTGTCATAGGGGATTCTGATAAGAAACAGACAGATAAGTATAGGGAGGAATGTCAAATTCTTGTCCCATCTAGCCAATCTGCTAATATCATTGGTAAGGCGGGCACAACTATTAAGAAACTGAGGGGCAAGACCAGGACCATCATTAAGGTTACTGCTAAGGATGCTGGTGATCCAAATCATTCATGTGCCATGGATTTTGACAACTTCATTCAGGTTCATGTTGTTTGCAAATATTTTATTTTTGCATGCTTGATGATGCATTTGAATGCCTCCTTGTTGATCATTTGGATTATTTTATATTCAGCAACAATTGTTTGTCTAGGTTTCTTTTTACTGTTCTGTTACTCAAAGTTGGATCTTGTCAATTTAACAACTACAGTCTATAGTTTAAAAAAGAAATGTAGATAATGTCATAGACTGGTTCTTCTTGTTATTAAGAATTGAATCGATCTTAAGTGTTGATAGCATGTGCACCTTAACCTTCATTTCTTCCCTTGTTGCAGTGGCAGTTGAAGCCTCAATAACGTTTTAAGTTCAATAGCTTGTTTAGGCGGATGTTAAAGCTTTGTGTGTGAGCCAATTCTAATGCTAAATTCGTTGAGTTCATATCTGATTGAGATAATGGATCTCTGATGTGCAGTAAAAGCAATGTTTTCATGTTCATAAATGATACTCTTCATGGTGGTTTTATGCCAGTTTGTTATTATTTATTTATTTATTTTCAACATTAATCAGTTTACAGTGTTTCCGCTCTCCTGTGAATAGATAACTGGTGAACCAGAGGCTGTAAGGAAAGCACTTTTTGCTGTTTCTGCAATCATGTACAAGTTCAGTCCAAGAGAAGAAATTCCTCTTGAGACGACAGTGGCAGAAGCTCCTCCAGCTCCAAGCATTATAATCCCTTCGGATGTCCCTATTTATCCACCAGGTGGCTTATATCCTAATCCAGATCCTACTGTACCTTCTAGATCAGTTCCACCAATATTGGGTGCTGCACATGTGCCAGATCTTCAGGGATATGCTGATACAGGGAGTACCTGGCCTGTGTATTCATCGGCTCTTCCTGTGGTTTCTGGTTTTGGTGGTGCATCTCGATCTGAAGAGTTAAAAATCAGAGTACTATGCCCATTTGACAAGATTGGGCGTGTCATTGGCAGGGGAGGGGGTACTATTAAGAGTATAAGGCAGGCAAGTGGTGCTCATATCGAGGTTGATGATACAAAGGCTGATCGTGATCAGTGTATTATCACTGTCACAGCTACAGAGGTATGCCCGTAGTTGAATTTCTCTAGTCTGGATTCCAGTACTGATTTATCAGCAATTTATCAAATAGTTGGACATTTTCTGTTTTCTCATGTGTTTATATGCCTTGTTTAACTTGACAGTCACCTGATGATTTAAAATCCATGGCTGTTGAAGCTGTTCTGTTGCTGCAAGGGAAGATTAATGATGAAGATGATAATTCTGTGACTATGAGGCTCCTTGTTCCATCTAAGGTTATTGGTTGTGTTATTGGAAAAGGTGGTTCTATTATAAATGAAATTCGGAAGAGAACTAAAGCTGATGTTCGTATATCAAAGGGGGATAAGCCAAAGTGTGCTGATGCCAATGATGAGCTCGTTGAGGTTTGCTCTCTCTCTCTCTCTCTTTATATATATATATATTGAAGATTGATATTTTTCTTCCTTCTATTGGAACAGTTTTTTATGCTAGCTCTTTGTCTTGTAGCTTGCCGGAAAAGTTAATAATGTGAGAGATGCACTTATACAGATTGTTTTAAGGCTCCGAGATGATGTTTTGAAAGAAAAGGACAGTGGTCGTAACCCTTCTGTTGGTGCAGATTCTCTGTACTCAAGCAGTGCCAGTCTTGCAGTGCCATCTCTCTTGTCTTCTGTTCCTTCAGTTCCTCCTTTGGCTTTTGATCAAAGAGCTGAAAGTGGAAGTGGCCTTGGTGTGCTTCCTACTAGCAGCCTCTATGGATATGGAACCTTGCCGGTATGTAATTGTGGAATTGTTGTTACTGCTACCTTCATAACTGTGGCTTTTTCCCCCTTATTCATGTCCTGCTCAACATGGGTGACATCTTTTTGCATCATCTTTATAATAGTGTTACTTTTGAGATCTCACATCTTTATTTATTGATACTCATTTGAGGTTTAATGAAATGGATGATACACTTTCTAAGGATAACTTGTTCAGACGTCAATTCTTCTTGTATTATAATTCAGGCATGCCTGTAGTAAGCTGCTTTAGTTTTACGTTGGGTAAAATACTGTCACCGCCCTAACTTTTAGCCATAATTCCATGCGGGTCCATTAGTTTTCGACGTGGACAATGTGTCTCAAACATGTAAACGATGTTAATGGGCAAATATGAAATGTCAAAATTACCTTTCTTTCTCTCTCCCCACCTTTTCTATTTTCCTTTTGTTTTTTTCAGGCTAGCCGACGGCACTCCCCTTACGTCGGCTGGCCACACCCTGCGCTCCCCAAGGGAGCCATGCCCCCCATACCCGCACTCCCTAGGGGAGCAGTACCCCGCCCCCCAACCCCTGTGCTCCCAAGGGAGCACAGATCT